TCAGGGTCCCGCAATCTTGGAATAATATTCTTCTTTGATTAAATTCCGAAATAATTTCGAGTCGAATGCAAACAACAGCTCAATGATTCCTTCTTGAAGTGGATTCAACGAAAGCATTCTCAAATGAATTATTTGGTGGCGGAATAGACTGTTTCGATCTAACATTGCGTGTAGTTTTGAGCAAACAAATAGGGAGCGAAAATACTTCCAAGATTCGTTCCTGCAGACAGGATCGAATTTTGTGGAACAAAATGAACATAACAAGTGTTTAGGGCTCAGTGAAAACACATAGATAATGCACATTTAAGACTGAAATACTGATTGAAGTGGTGCTAAAACAGGCGAAACATCCAACGAAGATTTTGGTGCAAACGAGTTAATTGCGAACGAATTCAATAGCAAAATATGCTGTTAATGGACATGTATGATCGTTGTGGTGTTCGGTTGAAATTTTTGTGAAAAGTGTGCAATGGTGACACCAATAAACCGAAAAAAAAACTGAATGAACAGAATGAAACGAACTAACAAAATTCAGTTGAACACAACAAAACAAAAAAAAATTCAAAAACTTTTGGTGCTGTTCACGTCTAACGTACTTGACGATACAGTGGTTGTAGGCGATTCAGTAGTTTCAGACGGATTCACAAGCAGATTGACGGGCTCATAATCGGTACGAGCGCCACTCTCCCAGTCTTCCAGGAAGCAGACAAACTTGCCGGCATCCGATTGATGCACATTTTGAATGATGAGAATTCCGTTCTCAATGCTCATCCGTGTGAAATCCAGCTCCACATCGTCCTCACGTCTCCATTGCACTTCGAGTGATTGCTCAGTGTGAGTGCAGTGCAGTTCAACCGTGTCGCCTTCTTCGACAGTTTTTGAGCTACTGTCGAGGACGGGAACGACTTCAGTTGTAGCTGTAAAATAACGCCAATTGTGCATAAATGTGAGCAAGTGAGTGCATTACAACAAGAACACCAAACAAACAAACTCCCATAAACCCAAAATAAATAAAAAACACAGTCAAAAGCGTCCACTTGTGATCCATCAGACATTCAAACGCTGCTCATTGAACACAACTAAACGAGTGTATCAATTGAGTGAGTGAAACGAATTCGAAACGATGCTAACTGAAATATTCCACACGAAAATTTCCTCAGAATGGCCAGAATGCTGAAGTTGTCCCGAGATTGCCGAACTACTCCAAAGATTGGCGTGATAAGAAGCATATGATGGACAAGGAAAACACGACAGAAGCAAAATTACATGCAGTTGATCACTGTTAATGGTGAAGCAGTGACAAGAAACGTTAAAATTATCGTACATTATCTTAGGTGCTCAAGTGCATACGATGAACAGTTATAAGCGATTTGAACGCAAACGAAATCATCGAGAATCCGAACGAGAATACCCAAAATTGGCGAATCGAAATCATAAGCATCAATCAAGCACGAAAAAGAAAATCAACGTGAATCATGAATCGGAACATTCAGAACCCAAAAACCAATCACCAAACAAAAATTTCCCGAATNGAAAAAAAAGTGAACTATTGATAACTAATTTGGAAACATAAAAGTGGAACCAAAGTGTTTTCCAAGCGAAAATGTCGAAATGAACCGAAGAATAGATCACATTTTGAAATGAAACTGAACCAAGAAATGTGTGTGAAATGAAAAGAAATTATCAAAAAAAAGAAAATAATGAAATGCATAATCAAACAAAAGAGTACATACGTTCGACAGGATTAACTGAAAGATAGGCAGGTGCTGAATCAACTGTTAGTCCATCGTAGCCATCTTCTACTGAGCAAATATACGCTGCCGTATCTGCTAACGTTGCGCGAGGTATGATCAGAGTTGCACCCTCAACAATAGTGTCCGCACTCAACGGTACACCATCTTGCCGGTGCCAATTCACTTGAATATTCAGCTTACCGGGCACATAACATTGGAACGTCACTCGTTCTCCTTCATCAACCACCTCACCAGAGGCCACTACCAAAGGAGTAACGGCTAGAATTGTGAAATGATGAAGCGCAATCGACAAGAAGTTCGAGATGAGAGTAAAAGTTTGATTTGACGGTTGTTAGTTCGAGAATGTTATCGTTTGAAAAAGTTAGTGTGATATGGAAGTGACAGATTAGACTGATTGTATTTGATGATTCCAGCGTTACATTTAGAATTGGACAGCAGAGGTGCGTAGCGATGAATCACAGAAAATGAATGATATTGTTATCAATATTGTGTGAACAAGCAAAATTTGGAGACGTTGATGCGGCTACCATTGAATACCGCAGTGGATGGAACGTACATTTGAGCCAGAAAGTGAAACCTCAGGAATTGAAGAAGATCAATGTGAAGTTGTTTCATGCAAACAAATAGCCACTGATAAAATTCAGATGAAGGCAACCATTGTTAGATTATAAGTGAGCACGTGAGATTTAGATTTCGTGAGATTTCCTATAGATGATAGGGAATTGTTTGAAATTTGGCCCGTGGCATACGTCAGAGTAGTTAAGATTTGGAATAGTGCAAACAGTTATGAGTGGATTTGTTTGAAGAAAGGCGCATGAACAAAAGACGAATAAGACATTCAGACGTTCAGAGGTGATCACTGAAAATAGATGAGTGATCAACAAGAAAATCAATCAATCAATCGAACAACGATAGGCTGTTGATCTAGTCAGGAGTAAGTGCAATATGTTGAAATGGAAGAGGATTGAACCTTATTAGAATCAATTCGGAGATCACTGAAGTTTTCATTGATGTATAAGCAAGCACTAAAAAGATACAGAAGCTATTCGAATTTGAACTGAACGACAGATGAACAAAACATTGAACTTAAACAAACATAAAATCAGAAAACAAAGCGATACGTACGCGTGCTCAGTTGAACGTCTAAATAGGCAGGTGA